GGGGGGGGGGGGGGGGGGGGGGCTCTTCAAAACCCAAGCCTGTTACATTTGCACAGTGTAACACTTGAAAAATCAGTGACACGAGTAATCTATTAGACAACCCATAAGTGAAATTTTTATTTATTATTTTTACACTATTTTGGGGTGGTCGTAGAGGGGGTCCGTTGGGGTAGTCCGTGGACCGGTTCATAGGTAGTCCACTGACCCGGTCCGTAGTGGGGTTCCACGGACCAGGGGTCAGTATTTTTGGGTTACCCTTAAAACACTGAATTAAGAATATCTCTAGAAATTTTGGAGCAGTATGGTGGCCTAGGAATGCCTTAACAAAAAACCCGTTGTCTTAACAAGTTTCTTGTAAATTTATGTTTTATTTGCTTTTTCGGTTTTATTTTTTATGTTCTTTTAATATCATTTTCATTTTTTATCACAAAAATATTTTAATTTAAAATCAAAAGTAAATAAATCAAGAAATTGACTAGGGGAAATGAACGGGCAGCGGGGGAAAAGGTGTAATCATGTTTCAGTCCATCAGCCTTCGCAACCTTTTCCAGAACCTCTAATTTGATACCTGCTGTATATCAGTACATGTAGTTAGATAGCAGTCTAAGAAACCAACCTGTTCTGTAACCAGCAGCGGATGCAATCTCGGCAAATGTGGTTTCATTTTGGGGCAGACCACCAGATGCTGATGTGAAAACAAGCACTCTTAGCTGCCCTTTATCTGCGGCGAGTCCTGATCGGATGGGATACCTTCCTGTAAGAAATGCAGCCCTGTTTGGTGTACAGATAGAGTCCGGCGTGACGTCGTGTCGCAATCGAGCTCCTTCTTCAGCCAGCCGATCAATGTTCGGTGTTTTGATCGTGTCATTACCGAAGCAGCCCAGATCTGCGATTCCAAGGTCGTCCACAAGAAATACAATAATGTTTGGCTTAGCAGATGTTAGGACGAAAACAAAAAACGTTAAAATAAAGTTAAACCAAGCGTGACGCATGGTAACAGGCGACGAGAACGTCTGTAGTAGGCTCCACGTTTTGAACACTTTACAACAATAAGATCGCCATCATGGATTTGTTCGCCGTGAGCTCCCTGGGGCGAGTCACGGTAACCTGTCGCTACAGTCACGCTATTAAAGGGGCTCAGTCACGGTATTTTGTGCCATAGATTTCCTTTAAATTGAAGGAAAACTGAAAATAGTAGAAAAGAAAAATAGAAAAACACCACAGAGATAACATAGGCGGGGTTATCGGGTATATGGGAAGAGGTTAAGAGCCAGTGCCCATAATTATGGACCAAACAACGGCACAAGTCGAAAAATCGATTTTGCTCATTTTTTGCCCATAGATTGGCCCTAGCTAGTAAAC